TTGGTCTTCCACTGATCCTCCTTCTGCCATACGATGTGAATGAAATCTTTGCTTTAGATGCAGTTTGCTTGTAAGACTTTTGTTCATGCACAATTGCTCCAGTTTTAACCACAAAGCAACTGTCGTTTTCTCCTTCAATATGTCTTGCAGAATGTTATTAGAGAGGTAAAGATGGACCTATGATAAAGCCTTCCAATCTTTCCATTGTTTCACCTCCATTGTCCAATTTGCTAACATTTTATCGAAACACAACCCTCACCTTTACTTGCCACAGCAAAAATCTCATATTGCGATCTCACAGCAAAATATCATATTTTAATATAGTCATCTCTGAAAAATCTCAATCAAATCACAAAAAACTTGCACCCTAGCTCTGAATACACTTATTGGACCCAAAGGCGTTGCAAGAATTGAGGTTAATGGACTCAATATGAAATATGTTTAATCACAACGATTAAAACAAGATTAAAGTAAACAAAATTGAAGAGAAATTAGTAGAAGAATCGATGTTTTTATTAAAAGATAGTATGTGGAGAGAATACAAAAATTCAACAATGAAGTTTAAACTAAATTGAATGAAGAGCCCACTATTTATATGTACATACCATAACATAAAGATGAAAATAATATAAAAAAATAATGTGAAATAAAGGAAATAATATTTTCCAATAAAATTACGTGAAATAGAGAAAACAATATTTTTCAATAAAATCACGTGAAAATAAGAACGTCATATTTCCAAAAAAAATTAAAAAAATCCAACCTAATCAGGGGCACAAAATCTAACAAGAAAATTGTGTCATCTTGGAAGAATATGATTAAATTATGTTTTGTAGCATATTTTTTGAACAGGAGGTATGACTGACTATAACTCCGACGACACTATCTTTCACTCTTCTTTTATTCTCAATGATTTTCATTCTGAATGAAGATTTAATTGGTTACAGGTTCGCAAGACACATCGGTGTTTCAATTCCCATGAAAGCCACTTTCTTTATTACGTACATAATGGTCGATGAGTGGTCTAGGATTTGCTAGCGAGATGCTCCTATTGAAATCTTTAGTGATTTTCCACCTAAAGAACAGATTCATTGTAAAAACTGAAAGAGACCTGGAGAAGCCCTGAACCCCGGAGGCATTGATTTTCCCATGACTCTCCCCAGACTTCAATTGTAATTCCTTCTGGGCATTGTATATATTGTTGTTACGCCGATTCTTCTTCCTTTTATACTGTTCTTTTTTGCCTTAGCATATATCGTGTATCGTCATCAGGTTAGTTCTCAATTGAATTTTTGTTTAATTTTATCATTTCAATTTATGCAAATGTTAACGTGAAGACATTTAACTCATGCAAATGTTAACGTGAAGACATTTAACTCATTTTCAAGTTTTATGAGTCTTGGTATATTAATGTCAACCGACATTATCAGAGGGAAGCACTATTATGGAAATGTGCATGTCCTGAATTTCTGAAATAATTCTAAATATTCTTATGAACGTGTTTGGCTAAGCTTAAACTGTTTATTTGCAAAGTGTAAGTCGATAAATTTGTTTTAAAATGTATTATTATTCTTTATGGGTATAAGAGTTACCTTTAAAATAAGTTATCCAAACATGTTTAAAAACAAAGAATTACTTGAAAATCTCTTTTACATTTTGTTTGACCTTGGCTAAACATGCTTCTTCTATTATATTAATTGTTTCAACTTCAACTTGAGCCTATTGGTAAATATTTTGAAGGGCGTGTGCATATGTAAACTATGTTCACTTTTGTGTGATCGGTATCAGTTGAGTGAAGCTCTTTAGTTTTTTAACCTGCAATTTTGATAGACAATGGTTGTAATTATTGCCAATCTTATATCATTAATCTTATATTATCATGTAGGTTATTAATGTATACAACCAACGTTATGAAAGTGTTGTTGCCTTTTGGCCACACGTTCATGGACGCATAATACTAAGCTTAATAATATCGCAGATCCTGTTAATGAGATTATTGAGTACAAAAAAAGCTGCAAGTTCCACTCCTTTTCTCGTCATTCTACTTATCTTAACATTGATCTTCTGTAAGTTCTGCAAAAATCGCTTTGAATCTGCATTCAAAATGTACCCTCTTAAGGTGAGATCTAGTTTGCATGATCGATACTTTTCAAAAGTTAGCATTTAATTCAATTCTTTTTAAGTTAGCTTAACTAGATGTTATCTCTTAGTTGCTAAACATTCGGTATATTCAATGTTACTGCTCTTACGATAGTCCAGGGACAGTCGATCACATAAAATTACCGAAGTGATGTTCCACTTGCCTTTTCATTTGAAAATTTTGTACACTCGAATTTTCGATATGTTTGCAAGAGTAAAGAAATTGATGTTTCTTTGGATCTTGATTGGTAATAATTTCTTCCTTCGCTTGAGCTCTTCAGGAAGCTTTGAACAAGGACGTGAAAGATTGTGCCGCTGAATTTGATGGCAATTAATCTTTTGCAGCTGATGCATACTTGTATCCAACTTTTAAGTTCTTTGAAGAAGTCAAGTTAGTTGAAGCCGGAAATGATCAAATCCAGACCCACATTTTCGACCCTTCTCCAAGGGATCATAGCTCTCACAGACAAAGCCAAGAATTTTTCAATGCGAGATCAACGCCGAACTTTGAGTTTTTGACCGTAGATATAATGATGATAAAAATATAAAACAATATTATGATAATACTATTAATGACGTAGTTTATAAATAACACTTCTTGCTTATGAGTTTTCATACTTTCATATCATTGTGCAATGACTTCATTATCAATTTGCTTTTTTATCAAGACCATTAACGTCAAAACAAAACCAATAGACACTGAACATGCATATTACTTCTTAAGCATTTTAATACTATCACAGACACGGAACAAGCATTAATCGCAAAAGCAATACCACAACTGAACCATACAAGAAAGCAATAACCAATTAACTAAAAAGAGATCGTTAAACAGCCGTCTCCAAAAATTCAATCTAGGATTAGTTTTTGAATTCTTAGTTCGGTCATTTTTATTGCTCAAGAATGGAGTATGAAGGCATGTCATTCTAGTAAGAAGTTCAAATATTATTTACTCCACAAGGATAACTTTTCATGGTTGATTGAATATTTATAATGCAAGTTTGAACATGTAAACAAATCTTGCTTTTGTAAGGAATTAATAAATATTTTGTTCGTACTTTATTCTACAAGCCAATTTTCCAGAGGCTATTGTGGGGCATAAGTAGTAATGGGTTTCTTAGACTAGTTTGGAAAAGATTATCTATAGTAAAAAATGATACATTGAAAATGTGGGGATTAAAAATTAGAGAAAAATTACAAATCTTGTCCAAAATTATTTTATTGCAATAATGTATAAGTAAATTGAGTTAAAAAATTGATTTTTCGATAAATTATGCCAAATATATGCATACATGATTTAATATATTAAAACCAATTTTCCGAAAAGCGCGTCTAGAAGTGAAACTCCACGCCCTGATAGTGAGCGCAAAAGTTGACTGTTTAATGCGTGACTAGGTACCCCTAGACGCGTTCTATTAATTTTGTTCCTTTTTTTACTTTAGTTTCAAATTTTTAAATGACTTTATTTGTACAAAAGTCAAAAATAAAATACGTTAGAAAATTTCTAACAAAACAGTGGCCAATGGAAAATCTATTAAAGGTCCGTTTGACATGATTTTGAAAAGTCAAAAGGATCTTTTGATATCTAAAAATTGTTTTTGAATCCGTTTGACTAAATTTTACGAAAATGTTTCTTCTAGTTGGGAAAGCTTTTGAAGGAGCGGGTCTAATTTAGTTTTCCTCTAAAAGCACTTTCTAAAAGAAAGTTCTTTTACAAATCATTCTCAAACAAAAATTAAGTTAACTTCTTTCAAAGGCTTTTTTACAAGAAACAAAAGTAAAACCATTGTCGAACAAGCATTATATAGGACTTGTGTAGTTGAAAGTGGAAACTACGAAAAATAGTCCAAATTTTACATTTTGAAAATTTAAAAATTATATAATTGATTAGTTGTAGGAATTATTAATTAAATATTGTATTTGGTAATTTTAGATGTATGACATAGAAAACGCATTTTACTAATGCCTAACCCACCTAGAAAATTAAATATTGTATTTGGCAATTTTAGATGTATGACATAGAAAACGCATTTTACTAATGCCTAACCCACCTAGACCCACTAGAGAGATGTAATCTAGCCCATAAACAGCATCCAGAAATAAGGCATACAAAAATAGGGCATCTCCCTCGCAAATAGTTTAGTGTAGCACAATTTTTTATGCTGAGAATCCTCAAAAGAGGCAATAGAAATCATATTTTTGTTACCACTTAAATTGTTGGCTACCATGACTGTTTAAAACTAATATTAATATTCTAGAATCCAGTGAGAAATGGAGAAAATTTAGAAACTCATAATGGGATCACTGCTTTAATTGATTCTTCATCCGAATTTTCAGCTTCTTATTCTCTATTTTTCTCATTAGTGAAAATCCATGGCCAGTGGACTACACCAATTAGGCGTAATTCAAGGTGATGTAATCTTTATTTTGCTGCCAACATGTAATTTTCTTGGGTGCTCTTAGTTTAGATGCAATTGTGACTCCAATGAATCCATTGAGTAATTTGTTAGAGATTAAAAAAAGGCAGGTTCTTGATTTAAATCCAAGTTTTGCATTTTTAGTTCCTAATAAAGCGGATGAATTGAGAATTGCAGTCGGAGGTTATTCTGTAAACGGGGCTCCAGATTATGTAAATTTTGTATTCATCAGGCACTATTCAATGCTGATGAGATGGCAAGAGCTATAGATAGATACGCTGTAACTCATTTTCCCACCATGTCGCCATTGATGGGATTAATAAGGAAAGTCAAGAGTTGTACGGGCTATTTTGGCCTTTGAGAGCTTGAAACAGGTTTCGTGTGGTGCGGCTTCGTTGAGCACGAAATTCATAGAATTCTTGATGGAATTTTTTAAAAACAGAGTAAGAAAAAGATGAAAAACTTGAAGATTATACATACTACACGGTTGGAGCATATATATGTAATACAAAAGATTTCAACCATGCTTTTAGTCAACAACTCCTACCTACTACAACCTTATTTGTTGACGGCATTTCTATAACAATGCAAGACCATATCATTATAGATATTTTAATCACTAAAAATACAATTACATAGACTTGATTTAAATACACAAAAATACCAGACTTTGGTACAGCAAAAGTGACAACCAATGTCAATACTCCTCGACACTTTTGCTGAAAACACCAAGGCATTTTCTCTATGTTTCAAACCTTCCTTTTGATAAGGATTTAATTAAAATGTCATCATATTGATCTTCAACATTGCAGTGCACTAGCTTCATGATTTTCTTGTGCTTGCCTGATTGCATGATACTTGATCTTGATGTGCTTTGTTCTTCCATGAAACACTGGATTCTTAACCATTGCAACAGCTAATTGATTATCACAGTAAATAACGGTTGCATCAGCTGGTTTGTGGTTAAGATTTTTCATTGAGTTCCAACAAATAACACTTGATCCCATATAAAATACATATCCAAAAGTGTTTTTCATATCATCAAAGGATCCAGTCCAATCATTGTCAGTATAGCCAATTAAATCCAAAGTTTATGGCCTCCTAAACCAGATTCCCATCTCTCCATTCCCTTTGGTGTATCTTAAGACTCTCTGTGCAACTTGGAAGTGTAATTCACTTGGCTCTTGTCTAAATTAGGAAAGCATATTTGCAGCAAATGTAATGTCTGGTCTAATGATTGTTAAATACAATAAGCTTCCCACCAAACTTCTATAAACCTTTTCATTAGATTTCTTGCTTCCATATTCCTTTATCAGCATTAAATTTTGTACCAAGGAAGTACTCACTAGTTTACAATTCTCCATGCTGAATTTCTTCAAAATTTTCTTACCATATCTCCTTTGATAGACAAAAATTCCATCTTGTGTTTGATTTATTTCCATACGAAGAAAATACAGCATTTTCCCCAAATCTGTCCTATCAAATGCCATCTTCATTTCACCTTTCGCTCTGTCAATTAAAGCTTGATTGCTGCCTATTATTAGGTCATCAACATACAAGGAAATGATAATCAATTCTTCCTCCACTTGCTTTATATAAAGTGTTTGCTCATTAACACTTTTGATGAAGCCAAGGCAGCCTAAGTATTCATCAATTCTACTGTACCAGGCTCTTGGAGCCTACTTCAATCCATACAAGGTCTTCCTCAACAAATAAACTTTATCCTCCTCCAATTACTAGGAAACCATCTGATTGTTCAATGAAAATCTCTTCATTTAAATATCTGTTTAAGAAGGCTGTTCCAATTGATATATTCTCAAGCCTCTTTGAGCAGCAATGGCAAACAACAATCTAATTGTTTCATACTTGCCACAGGAGCAAATGTATCTGTAAAATCAATGTCATATTGCTAAGCATATCCTTTCACAACTAACCTGGCTTTGAGTTTGTTGACTGAACAATTAGAGTTTAGCTTAGTTTTAAACACTCATTTAACTCCAATCACATTTTTATCCTTTGGTCTATCAACCAACAGCCAGGTTTCATTCTTTTCTATCATACTTAGCTCCTCTTTCATTGCAACCATCCGAACCTGTGAATTTGTTGCTTCATTGAAGTTTGAAGGCTCTGTTCGTGTAATACCCTCAAGCGTACAGAATCGTTAACAAGTAATAAAATTTATGAGTTAAGAGTTATCGTCCCACAGAGAATAAATTTAATTTAAATTTAATAATTTCGTATAGATTTGAATTATGAAAACAAACGAAATATTTGGATTTAATTTATACCAAACTAATCTAAGAAAGCTGTAAAAGTTCGGGTTTTATTAAATTACGGAGGATTGTATTGGATTTCGACTCCACCTATTGCTATCTATTTCAATTCTTGAATCGTAATCTAGTTTCATTTATGTGTTTTTGACAATCGATAACGCTAAATTATTCAATGCTCTTTTTCAAGGCACACGAACCTATGATTAACACGACCTGATTCTATTCTTAGTCTGAATTCATATAAAAATCACGCATTTAGTTCAAGTTATTTATATGATTGCATGTGTGAAAGAGATAATTCATAATTCTAACTACACAACCAAAATTATCTATATGATCCCTGTCAACCAAAGCTGCCCTTATTTTCTCGATAAGCGTGTATATATATAGGTGCAATCAGTCGACCAATTTGATGAACAAATTTACCCCATTTCTCCCCCGGTTGCCCTCAAGTTGCGTGAATATACATTAATAACAGCAGCCCCATATTTCTGTGCGTCTTTTGTATATATATTTAACCTAGCAGCCAAGTTTGACTTTCCAAAGGACTCCAATTCAAAGCAATTAATCCATATTATCCTGCAAGTCGTTAGTCTTTCTAAATTATGAAATTTAATCTCCAACTTTCATCCATCGGCCAAATTAATCCATGCACTTTAGATTTTACCATTTTCACCCATTTTATGCTTCTTTCCTTCAATTCCTTTTTATTTGTGGAGTTTTACCTATTAAACGTAAAACACAACAATTTAGAATATATTATGTCAAAAGAACTATCAAATATCATTATTTTAAGTACCGAATAAGTATATAAAATGTACTTATCAAATACCCCCAAACTTAAACATTTGTCTGTCCTCAAACAAAAATATAACCGGACCATACATACAAATCAGAAACCTTTTATTTAACTTGTTGTGCTACTTAAGTCTGGAGAAAGAGTCAAGACAAACCTCGGGAGCCATCCAGAATGCAGTTCCCTTTCATGATTTCACGTCATTTAGCTTGGTAGCCTGAACAATAATAGCTTATTAGAAATAATCACAATAGTAATTGTAGTAAACTATTTCCAAAACTGTGGAAGATAAAAAGGCACTGTAACCAGAGGAGGGGAAAAAAAGGAGCAAATTGAACCCTTGCAAGGCCAAAATCTGCAAGTTTGACAGATCCACTTGCATCCACCAATATATTTGCACATTTGATATCTCTGAGATAAGAGGAAAAATTATGAGAGTTTAGCATTGTTTAGTTTTATAAAACTAAAAAATGGAATTCACTGCCATATCAACAACTCATTCAACATTCAGGAAAGTCCGTTAGGAACTCCATAAATCATTTATTGGAAGTTAGTGTAGATCATAAAAAAAGTGCAAATGAGATTAAACAAGATGTTTTGGTTTAATCACCTGTGGACCACATCTCTGTCATGCAAATATTTTAAACCATGTAAAATCTGTCTGGTATAAGCAGAGACCTGTGAATCTTGAAGGTTATACTTCTGGTAAAGGCTCAAGAGGGAGCCATTAATAACGAAGGGCAAAGTTAACCTACCCCATGCTAAATTTAATTAGCAGAATGGAGATGCACAATAATAAAGAAGGACCACAAAAGCAATAAAATTTACATTATATGGGCTTCACAAATCACAGTTGTGGATTAACATCATCAATTATATTTTTGTCAAAATACTCAAGTCCTCAATCCATTATCGATGCATATCACAATTCACAGCCAAATCAATACTATACTCGTATATTCCTCAAAAGGGAAACCAACTGCCTTGTGCTACAAAGAGAGATGATTCAACAGCATCTAAACAACGGCTACTCTAAGATAACTTATATGCAGTAATATAAATTATGAATGGGGAAACTTATTTTGTTTGTTGCGTCACTATTATAAATATATAGTAAATTGCTTACTAAAAATAGAAATAATAAAACAAATCATCTTGAAAATTCCATCAAATCATCTTGAAATAAAACAAAAGCAGCACAAATTAAAACTGCAATTCCATCAAATCATCTTGAAATAAAACAAAAGCAACACAAATTAAAATACAATATATCTTGAATTTTCTCCAAGAATCTCGTGAGTATTTTGAAGTCGACCATAATATGTATTATAACAAACAGAAAATAAATAGAAAAAATTGAAAAGGAAAAAGAGAAAAATGTTGGAAACATTTATCATCACATACCCAGTAGATAACAAACCAAGCCTCACGCCCCTATCTTCGTCGCATAAGGCTCTCCACCCCCTACTGCAGCCAAGTCCTCATAATAAGCGCCACCCATCTCTTACCGGGACCCAGCTAATGAAGATAAATTGGGGCTCAGAGAGAGAGAGAGAGAGAGAGGGACGTGCATACAGGTAAGACGAGATGAGGAAATCGATTAGAGAGGGATGCGCAGCCACAATCGTAATCGTAGTCGCAGCCGTAAGGAGGCAGAGAGCAGATTGTTTCATGCCCTAATCCATGAAGCTCAATTTTATATTAGGATCCAACGGTTGATATTGGTTATTGACAATCTACGGTCCTAATCTATTGGGAGAAAATGAATTATTTTAGGTGGGAATCGAAACATTTTGAATTTCCCGATCGAATTTTTCATTGGTAACTATACAGTATTAATGTATATGTACAAAATGTAATACAAAATTGTTGGAGGGGCGGCTACATGATTTTTCCAATTTTAATATTTTTTTTTGAACAAAATCATCAGTTAAGAAATTCTGTCACTAAATTATTATTAATATTTTTTTAAAACTATTACCTACGAATTAGCAACAGGATTGTACCAACCAAATACTTTCATTGGTAAATCTGTCGACAAATTAATATATAATTTTTAAAAATAATAAAATGATAAATCGCTTTTAAGCCGTTGCTAATCCGTTGATAGTAGCAATAGAAGACGACTGTTACTAAAATTTTGTCTCTATTGCTACTTTTTTTTAGCTGTGTCATAGATACCCAACATACCGCTTCTCTTCACAAAAAAAGCAAGCTTGCGATTGCAAATGAACGGGTGGTTGTAACGATCTTGTTTATTTTCTTGAAAACTTTTCACATTATCAAATCTAAAATTATTTGTAATTAGAAAGTAAATAAACATTGTGAATAAGTACGCTTACAAAAGGGAAAACAAATAAATCAGTTCAAGATAGGGGCGGCTATTAATTTGAAGAGTCATTACATTATAAAAATACATTGATTTGAGTCTTGGGAGGTGAGCGACGACGGTGGTCGGCAGTGGAAAGGCAGAGAGAGACGAGAGTGAGAGCTTCAATGGATAAAATGGTCAATCCATTCAATCTTTGTTGTGACATGGTTGATCGGAGATAAGTCGTGATCAATTTCAATCTAGCGAAACTTTTTTTCGCTGATGTAACTGTAACTGGTATAGTGAGCAAAATCTTATAAGCAATGCAAGCATTCAAAAAACAACTATTCATTTTCTTCAAGTAATTTAGCACATCAATTGCTCTTTTTGTTTCTCTAGGTCAAATTCTTATGATATTGGACAAATCTTTTCCATATTTTCTAAGATTTTAGAGTTCTATTCCTTTTATAACTTATATTCTAGGATTAGTATAAATATTAGTTTATTACTTCATTGTATTTTTACGACATATTATTTTGAGAATTAATACGAAAGGCAATTTGCTTTCAATTCTTTGTTCTTAATTGAACATATTAAACTTATCAAGAGATTATTCTTGTGGCATTTTACAAATCGAGTGTGGATCTTGAATTGTGTAATCAAGGGGTTCTTCAAATAACGTTCTTGCTGGGTTTGTTGGTTCATTAATTTAAGGTTCAATCTCCAAACCTTTTATTTGACTTTTCTGAGGTTCGGAACAATCTAGTTGTGGGTTTCGTAATCAACGCAGCTACAGGGTTCGCATCAGTATTGAAAGCATGTAACAACTTATATCGAATTACCATACCAAACAATAACTCAAAATTTTGAAGTTCATATATTGCTAATGACTCAGATTCAGTCTTTGTTTTAGGATCTTCAGCAATGTTTGCCAAGTCAAGTAAAGCATATCTTATTCGTACATATTGCTCTTTTATAGGCTTGACACTTTCAACATGACTTTCTCAGCACGTTTGTGACAATAGCTTAAGTGTCAGACCTTCAACCTTATCTTTAAAAAATTTTCATCGCTTCGGAGAAGAAGAGAACACTGAATAGATGCTTTGTATCACTCCAAAGAAGGACATAGCTTTAGAACAACAATTTGACATATCACATAATGCTAGATTAAGGCTATGACAACCACATTGAGTTTAGAAAGCTCTAGGATTTAATTCAAGTAACCTTTTTTGTACACATTTGCGTCTCCTGCTCATGTTAGCTCCATTGTTATACCCTTGATCTCTTATATTATCAATATCAAGCTTAAGTGATCCGCTAAAACTAAGCGAAGGTAGGCCGAGTTCTAGAAGACCAATTGACGAGAAAAGGAGAATACAATTTTCTTGAGAAAGATAATAACACTTCTCATTAAAAAATTCAATCCAATATTCTTGTACCATCGACAAGTCCATTCATTCGTCCACACATCTTATTACTAGAGACATTTTGTTCATCATGACTCGCATTTGGAGTACAATCAAGTATATTAAGGTAATTGAAAACCTTCAATAAAGTTAATATTATATATATTATATTGATATAATATAATTTACTTTCTTCACACTTTGGGAATAATTTTTTTTTTTAATCTTATGAATTCAGTAAAATTGGTGTGAGTTTCTAATTAATCAACAAACAAATTACAAACTAATAAATTTTATATTGTAAAATATATATGCATGACATATTCGTGTTTATTTTGAATTGATACTTCGTAGTAAGCAAATTTATTTATTTATTGTTGTCAAAATAAAATTAAATAGTTTATAATTTTTTTTATCTTTGGTTCAACCCTTTGACCATTTTTATTTCAAGGTCGATGCTTGGTCTGGTTTTCAAAATATTGATTGTGACGATTCAAAATGTCTATCTTGACTATCTTTAGGAAGCAAGATGTTATCAACTCCTTTTGGACCCATATTATGGTTGCCAAAATCATATACTAATCAGCAACCATGAAAGTTGGTCACTACAGAAGACGAAAATATGGCTCCAATTCCCACCAGCCCTTTCAGCGACCATATATTGGTTGCTGAAAGTGTAAATGTTCAGCGACCAAGTAAACATTGGTCGCTGGATGTTCACACCAGTGACCAGGAGTTGCTCGCAGAAGGCTTAACTATGCAGCGACCACTTCTTCGTCGCTAAAAGGGTTTAAAAAATTACGCGGGTGTTTGTCCCGCCAACTTGTTCGACGACTAGGGGACATCAATGACCATATAGTGGTCGCTGAAGGTTGAAATATACAGCTATCAGACTCTTGGTCGCTAAAGGACTAAAGAAAATTACGCGGGCTTTGTCCCGCCAACTTACACAGCGACCAAGGAAATGTTGGTCACTGGATAGTGACACCAGCAACTAGAAAGTGGTCGCTAAAGGCTGATATGTACAGCAACCAAACTATTGGTCGCTAAAGGATTAGGTAAATTACGCGAGCTTTGTCCCGCCAGCTTCTATAGTGACCAAGGACTCGTTGGTCACTGGATGGGGGAATCAGCCACCAAACTGTGGTCGCTGAAGGCTGATATTTACAACTATCAAATTATTGGTCGCTAAAGGATTAAGAAAATCATGCGACTCTCATCCCGCCAACTTGTACAGCGACCAAGGAAGAGTTGGTCGCTGAAAGAGGATATCAGCAACCAAAAAGTGGTCACTGAAGGTCTCACTAGAATCTTTAGTATCTTAACAGACAGAAACTTGCACCGACCAACCTTTGGTCGGTGATCATATCTTACAGCGACCAATATTGATTGGTCCCTGAAACCTTGGTCGATGGTGCGCATATTTTTTGTAGTGAACTCCAAGCTACTAGAGTCCATCAATGAGTTAGGTAAGATATACATTACCCACGCCGTGATCGGAGGAGTTATGTGATGCGATTAGCAATCGGTGCGAGCCTCACAGAAAACAGGCACGTCCACTTGGCCTGGAAGGTTGTGCAAGAACATGCAAATGCCCTACTCAAAATGTCATGAAACTAGAACAAGGTGGGTCTTGGATTTCAGTAAAAAAAATTGTATATGTTTATTTCTGCCCTTGGAGTGCTCCATATTGCCCGTTGAAGTTTATGAAACCATTAATATTATCTTTAGATTCTCGTGTTTAATTTCCTGTGCATATGTAACCTCAATGTCATGTTCTTAATCCATGAAAAAAGATAATGAAAATTCTTCTATTCTATTATATATATATCAAATGATGTACCACAATGATATATTTTAGGTTGGTTAAATATTTAAATATAAATCAAATTATAAAAGTTTGTACCACTCCTCGAACAAGGTTATAAAGGTTTGGACTACATTTTAAAAGGTTGATATTTTAAAATGAAATATCAACTAACGAACAACTTGATTCAATTATGACTTAAAAGAGCATATAAATTTCAAGGTTCATCTACTCAAATGTGCTTCCATCTTGCAAAAAATCCCACTTCGATTAAATATCAAACTATAAACCAACTAAGAAAAATTTGAATTACCTCTCTTAAAAATATTTACCTTTTAAAATAAAATCACCAGCCTTATACGATTGTACAAGACATTTACCTTCGAACTTGTGCATGCTACCTTGCGTACTTAAATAATTATAGTTTTTTATACCCATTTTCATTTATAATTTCTTTCATTATAAAACAAGAAATAAGGAAATTTTGAAAAAATGAAAGTCTTTAGGAACTTCTTAGAAAGTTAATTAAAAATAAAAAGGAGAGAGAGAGAAATCCATTGAATGCTCCACATGCATCAATTAATTTAACTAGAAATTCATTTTATAAGATAAATTTTCCATATTCACTTATCTGTGTTAAAATTAAAAATAGAAAAGGTGCTTTATGAAAAAATAAAATAAAAAACATACCTTAGGGGCGTTCCCTTTGCCGTTTTCCAGCCGTTTTCTGTTTTTAGTTTTCCAAGACACCCAAACGCGTTTGGTCACTTGTTTTCGGAAAATGCATTTTTGAAAACAAGGAAAAATTTATAACTGAAAAAGTAAAACGACTTTTTTTTTTTGGGGCATTTTCAGTTAAAAAATCCAAAATGTG